TTCGATCCCCGACCACGTCATACCAAAAGACGTTAAAATATGGTACTTGTTGGTCCCTGCCTGGCGCTCGGAATTAATGGGTACAACAAGGACTGGTCGGCTCGGAGTCAGTAAAATGTGTCTGAGAGGGGTATTCATGCTTCACTGCGGCATGGTATCTCAGTGGGCTAGCACTATAAAACCAGCATAAGTCTGGACTAGTACAAGCAGCCGCACATACACACGTATGCACGTCGCCATATGAGCGAACTTTTCTCAAGCACGATGTTAAATCCAATTTCACCTCACCTCACCTCACCTCACCTAGTACATTACTGAGGAATGAAACGCAAACAATAAACAGGTTCCAGGTAAAAAATGACAATTGATACATTTGTGACAAATACGGTTAATATGCCATCTTTGAAGTAAACGGATGCTATAGAAACTAGGACTCCAGTTGACCTTTTGTGGGGAAAGCAGTATCCCCTCTGAACGCCGCCGGAGGCTCGGGGAGAGATAGGGGGAGCAGTAAATCCGTGTTAATAGCATCGCTTCCCATACTAATCAACATAAACATTGATGTAGTGTAAGAACTATGCCAGCCTAGAATGTGGGCCATGCTTATAAAGAATCACCGACAGATGTTCAAATTGACGCTTCTTGGAGGATTGCGTCAACGTCTTGTGATGGGTCAGCTCTCCAGCAAAGCCATGCTATATAGTAGCTGCTATATTATACAGTAACCACTATGTTCTGAAGTAGTGTGCTTTGTTAAACGGGACGTATTATGCTCTCACGTAATTACTATTCTCTATAGTAACAGCCACGCTCTTACGTAATTGCAATGCTATGTAGACACTGCTATGCTCTCAAGTATAATACCCATCAAAAGTTTAGACTCACTTAAAGTAAAGCATTCACTATATGTTATGTTATATATTTTTACATCGAACACGAATTTCTCCACTAACTTTGGGGAACCAACTGCAAACTTTATGCAGATGAATTGCACGAGGATCATGGATCAAATTGCTGAAAAGCATTTTCAAATATCGTGCATGTGAACAGCTGCGTTGTGGTGTAAACTTTTGTTAAGAATTCGCCAATTTTCACTCAGTTTCATCATTTTTTGAACTCATGGCAATAATCCTTTCAACGTTACGAATATTTATTTTACAATACATCAGTTCATGTGTAAACAGTACCTTTAAACAGGATGGAAAAGTTTGTTAATCTAGTTTAGAACAGTTGACTTATGTAAGTGGCTACATTTACACTAGTGAGTCTAAAGTTTTGATGGGGAGTATAGTTTGTTTTGCTGAAAAGAAGCTCTTATGTTGCCACATACTCGCTGTGCTCTAAAGTAATTGCTCAAGTACTTGCCATGCTTGTAACTGTTATTCTCTCAGGTAATAGCCATAACTTCCTGTTATTTGAAGTAATTTTCCTGCTTTACACTAACTGCTATGATAGTAATTTCTATGATATATAACGTGAAGATTCGGTTAGAATTGATCTTCAGCAACCCTTGTAGCAAGAGGCGACTAACAGGACTGGGTTGTCAGGCTTGCTGACTTGGTTGACACATATCATCGTATCCCAATTGCGTAGATCGATGCTCATGCTAGTGTTCACTGGATTGTCTGATCCAGGCTCGATTATTTACAGATCGCCGCCATAAAGCTGGAATATTGCTCACTCCATAATATATAGTTAACAGTTTGCGCTCAAGTAATATATGTCTATGTCAAATAACAACGTATATGCTGCCAAGTAATTGCTATGCTGTATATCAACTACTACTGCCTCGTATTTACTTTCTTTACAACAGGTCCTATGTTATACACTGCAATGCTTTTAAGTACTTTCTTTGTCCTGGAATCTGCTATGCAATACAATGACTATATACTATCAGGTAAATCTACTCTTCAGTAATTGCCATATTCCACGGATACCAAAAATGTTCTCCAGCAACTACTACGCTCTCTTACATGAACAGGTCAGTTTGCAAGACAAATTACACTGTTTGAAAGCGCTTGTTAATGATTGCTGAATACGAGTGAGTGAGTGAGTGAGTTAAGATTTATCGTCACATCGGCAATATTTCAGCCATATCGTGACGAGAACATTTTATAATTATAGTAAAGATCAATAAAGTTAGAAATTCAAAAACCTGTTGACGAAGAACAGTAAAACTGCTGTATACGAAAACTCAATTAATTTTTTCATCACACATGAAATCCGATGTCACCAAAGAATTCGCTTATATTTTGCCTTTATTTCATAATTTGAATCGATAAAAGCCTGCAATAAATTTTGATAGGTTTACTTCGAACCGAAATCGAAACCTGTAAATATATGAAATATGAAACTTTACAGTGGTGTGGCTTCGTGTGTAAATGTATGGGCAGCAACCCCAGGCACCAACCCTATTGAAAATCCAGAAAGCCTTTGTCGTAATTACCGCATCCTCACCAAATTACACTGGCATGGCAACTACCAGACACCATCACCATGACAATCTTCCTGTTCTGAGTTCGACATAATAAACTGAATTTTCTTTTCAAAGGCTTCGTGTCGTGTAACTACTTATCCTCGTCAATTAGTGTAATTCGTTCTGTATATATACCGACCACTTTTACACATGACTATATGTTTGCAATGCGAGCCCGGCTTAACTGACAGTCGCTGTAGGGGACAGAGACAAGTATGCCCACTGTCCGACCTCTCCAATCTCCCATCAAAGTCAACATTATTGAAACAAACGAGAAGGATAAAACGAAACCAGTGAGCCTCCTTCTCTGATGTTCGTCTATTGATCTTTTCATCAGGATATTAAAACGAGAAGAAAACCCGTCAATCCAACCTTCATCGTAGGCATACCATCGTCTTTCAGAGACTGCTAACCTTATCGTAGGCATACCATCGTCTTGCTGAGACTGCTAACATCTTTGTAGGCATACCATCGTCTTACAGAGACTGCTAACCTCACCGCAGGCATACCATCGTCTCGTAGGCATACCATCGTCTTAACAGAGACTGCTAACATCACCGTAGGCATACCATTACTGAGACTGCTAATCTCAACGTAGGCATACTGTCGTCTCGTAGGCATACCATCGTCTTAGAGAGACTGCTAACCTCACCGTAGGCATACCTTCGTCTCACAGAGACGGCCGGCCTCACCGTAGGCATACCATCGTCTCGTAGGCATACCATCGTCTTACAGAGACTGCTAACCTCACCGTAGGCATACCATCGTCTCGTAGGCATACCATCGTCTGTCTTTCAGAGACTGCTAAGATCACCGTAGGCATACCATTACTGAGAATGCTAACCTCATCGTAGGCATACCATCGTCTTACAGAGACTGCTAACCTCACCGTAGGCATACCATCGTCTCGTAGGCATACCATCGTCTTACAGAGACTGCTAACATCACCGTAGGCATACCATTACTGAGGTTGCTAACCTCATCGTAGGCATACCATCGTCTCAGAGACGGCTGGCCTCATCGGAGGCATACCATCCTCTTACTGAGACTGCTAACATCACCGTAGGCATACCCTCGTCTAGTAGGTATACACTCGTCTTACAGAGACTGCTAAAATCACCGTAGGCATACCATCGTCATACAAAGACTGCTAACATCTTCGCAGGCATACCATCACAGAGACTGCTAACCGCATCGTAGGCATACCATCATTTTAGAGAGACTGCTTACCTCACCGTAGGCATACCATCATCTTAGAGAGACTGCTAACCTCATCGTTGGCATACCATCATCTTAGAGACTGCTAACCTCATCGTAGGCATACCATCATCTTAGAGAGACTGCTAACCTCATCGTAGGAATACAGTTATCTTAGAGAGACTGCTAACCTCATCGTAGGAATACAGTTATCTTAGAGAGACTGCTAATCTCATTGTAGGCATACCATCATCTTAGAGAGACTGCTAACCTCATCGTTGGCATACCATCATCTTAGAGACTGCTAACCTCATCGTATGCATACCATTATCTTAGAGAGACTGCTAACCTCATCGTAGGAATACAGTTATCTTAGAGAGACTGCTAATCTCATCGTAGGCATACCATCGTCTTACAGAGACTGTTGGCCTCGTAGTAGGCATACCATCGTCTCATAGAGACTGTTAACCCCATTTCTACTCCAAAGTACATTTCCGTGTTATTTTACATACTTCCATATAACATTTCCCAGCCAGCTTCTAGCGCAGATCGTCACTGACATTTTTTTCCTTCAGCCTTCATGATAAAGTGGAGAGGTTTTGTTTTCGTAATGGAATTCGTTCGCCCTAAGCTATTTCATTACTCAACGTTTTCGATATAAGATGCTTCTTCAATTTCGGAATTCAATCTATCAACGCTACTTGAGAAAATGAACTTGTGCTGATGGAATCTCCGGTCCTATAAAACGTCATTTAGAAGCTGTTCACGAACCCAAAGCAATAGGTTATCCAAACGCTCTTTGTCTGTTCTTTACGTTTGTTTAAGTGAGCCTCTCTCTGCGGAGTAACAGTGAACCTGATATTCATCCTTTCTATGGTAAAGACTGGATGTACAGCCTTATGCACAGCGATACTATGTACGTACTGGAGCTGTAGAGAATTGTTGAAGTAAATACGTCAAAAACTTGATCACTTAGTTCTATTTGAAGGATAGTAATTATGTCTATTTTAATGACCGGAATTTTGAGTCGGATATATATAAACATAAGATTCAAGGGAAATTCCACCACGTTTAAACGATATACTGAACGCGCGCTGAATGTAAAACCGTCACACACGATCGTGTCACCGTTAATTTAACGTCTCGATTTCCCTTCGTAATAACACGCAAGCAAGTTCAAAGCACTGTCGTGATAAGGTATACTGAACGAGCACGTTTCTCTTCTGATGTAAAGTATGTATGGCTTTCCAACATCAATTGCATCTCAAGCCCAACATCAAACGATAGCATCAATCGGTAGTGAACAATACGAACACAAAACACCTACCTGTAGCGACATTCTCCCTATATACAACTATGAGCGATGTAGTTCCCTCCACTGTCCCCGTTCGGACCAGTGTCGCCTCTCCCCTGCTCCTGGCAGCTGACTATAACGAACTCACGCGTCCCCACAAACCACCACGCGGATGTCAGCAACAGCAATTACAGCAGCCGCATCTGAGGGATCCCCGCTGCTATAGCGCCAGCGTATGGTGTAGATGCTCCGCCTTGAGGACTAGCTACAGCAGAAGGGCGAGACACAGGCTATACCTGTATGTAGGCAAACGATCTGAGCGCTGGGGATGAGATCTGAGCGTGTAGCTGGCGTTCATGAACTGCAGAGTTGAGACCGATTTGTCTCCGACGTGATGATTATGGCGTGGACAAACAAGTTAAGATTGGGGAAGCAGTCGAATGGGTCTCTTATGTCCACTTGGGATATTTTATTCATGGGCCCAAGATGTGGGTGTCTGCGGGACACTGCGGCGTCTCTATTGGAAACTGATGACGTTCAATTATTCTTGTTATTACAGTGTTTTATTCATCTCGAGTAGTAGCACACACAGTCTAGTTTTGTGAAGGTAACTTATTGATAGTAATAATGTTAAGTAAATTATACAACCTTGGTATTGCGTTAAGCAAGTTACATATATTAATATTGCGTTAAATGTATTACGCAATCTGGTATTGTGTTAAAGTGACTTACAACATCTGGTAATTTGATCGCACTCTCTCTCTCTCTCTCTGTCTTTGTGTGTGTGTGTGTCGCGCTCTCTCTCTCTCTCGCTCTCTCTCTCTGTGTCTTTGTGTGTGTGTGTCTCTCTCTCTCTGTGTCTTTGTGTGTGTGTGTGTCTCTCTCTCTCTCTGTGTCTGTGTGTGTCTCTCTCTCTCTCTCGCTCTCTCTCTCTGTGTCTTTGTGTGTGTCTCTCCCTCTCTCTCTCTCTGTCTTTCTCTCTCTCTCTCTCTGTCTCTCCTCTCCCTCCTCTCTCTCTCTCCTCTCTCTCTCCCTCTCTCTCTCCTCTCTCTCTCTCTCTCTCTGTCTCTTTGTGTCTCTCTCTCTCTCTCTCTCTCTCTCTCTCTCTCTCTCTCTCTCTCTCTCTCTTCTTAGAGACTACATATCTGCAAAGTTGAGATACCTGGGAAACTAGTACCAGTACCCGGGAACAACATTAAATACTTGGAACAACAGTCTTGAAAACAACAAAACTGTTTGAGACATCCAGAAACTCTAAGTGGATTTGGAAGCTGTCTGACACAGCAAGAATACTGGTCAGGAATCTGGGACGACGTCTGCAACAACTGAGACGCTAGTCATAGATCTGCGAAGCTGACAGTAGACATCTCTTTCACAGGACTAGTCATACTGACTCATTCATTAGGAAATTAACAATAATATTAGTAGCCAGTGTAAATGTGGTAACTATGAAACTATAATGTTAGTTATAATGATAATGTGAACTCACTGCCAACATTTGAAAAATACAGATATTAGTTATTTGAAGTCCAGACATCTCACCGTCGTTTACTCGATAATCTAAACAACTATTATGAATCCAAACAAGTGACAATAAAGACAACATTGGTGAACTGTGTATATACCAGTAGACAAATATCTAGTGCATATCAACCTGGGGCTCCTTTCACGAAGCAATCTTTACTATGGTTAACCTTAACTCCCATTCTTTAACATTGCACTAAGGTTACCTTAGTGACTTACGATCACCTTAGTGCTTTGTGAAAGGAGGCCCTGGATTCCAGATCACCAGTTATGAGTAAGTATGGAACGTAAAAGGTTAAAAACGTTCTTTTTTATTCCAAGAGAATGTAATTATTTCTTTCATATACGCTAACCATACACTCAGCATGCATCTGTTCAAATAAGCGCTTATCTGTACATCTGCAACCTATATATAATTCGTTTAAGCTTGTTGAATTCCATGTGCAATATTAAAGAAAACGGTTGAAGAAGAAAATCAACATGCATGAGCTGAATTGCAGCGTTATATTTTAACGTCGCGCACATTGCAATAAAGTTGACTATCCACAGAACTTGGTTTTCCTTAGCGGTGTAGTTTGGCCATTCTGGATCTAGTCTGTTCTGTTTGTCCATCAGGGAAACCAGATCCTCATGCGGTCCATATTTTATTCTGTTTCAATCAAAGTTGTAAACATGCTTGTGTCAACAGTCTACAGATCCGAAATTGATTCGCTTGTAATCCCCGGGGTTTGCTATCCTCCTATAAACAGCTGTATGTCCGGTACGGGAATTCTACAGTATTGGGCAACGGGGAAATCAATAGATCGATAAGTCTTATTTATAAATGTGTCTCATTAACCCCGAGTTAACACTGAGGGAACCAGGATAGCTGTGCTAATCAGAATATTGCTGGAGACAGGCAGGTTTGAGCGCCCACAGCAGATGAACTGATGACAGAGGAGGCTAGTTAGGACGCCCCGATTGCCTACAAATATGACAGTCAAGCAGGTTAAGCTTTCAGTGTCTCTGATAAGGTCACAGGCGAGTTGGAGTGCCTGCAGCAGATGTAAAGATGACAAAGATAGGCAGCGTGGGACGCGAAAGAGACATATAGTTGAAAGTATGGAACAGGAATTAGGCAATTTGTACACTCGACCTGTCTGATATGTCACAGAAGGCCGGCGTTTTCAGACACCAACAGCAGATATGGGATTTGAAAAGGGATTCCTGTGTTGAGAGTGGTAGTGATACATATAAACCAGGTATTATTACATCGTAGTGTAACAGAGACACACGTACTGACTATAACTGAACAATAAACAATAGAACAATACACACTTGGCTAGTGAACCAGTGCCTACTCAAAATTATTAAAGGAGCACGGTTGGAGTTTTAAAATATACTTTGTAGGTATTTTCTCGAATATGTGAATAGACGAATGACTATAATGACAGCTATTTTAATTAATTTTGTTATTATACTTTGATCACACCTTAATGGATTCGGTCTCATTCATTGATTTATTGATTATATAAAGATTTGCCCAGTCACCCACAGCGATATTGAAAATATATTATCCGAAAGACTGGTTCCTGGGTGGTTTTGCGCTATGTCATTTTTATGGTAATCAGAGACACATTATTTCCACGATGTAATTCAATGGATCTATGTTTAAATGTCATATCGCTCAGTGTTTTCATATTTCTAATATAAACACCTTTCATCTTTACACTGGGCAGGTGATAAAGCCATATATGACGTTTGCTTTCCGATATGACGTGGAACTCGGATAAAGATATTAGGAAGAACATAGACATTTAACATGTACCTTTAGTCTATGCTTACAGAAACAGGTTTATGAATTTAGCTATAACCCTCACCGAGGAATGCCTTGCTACACTTCCAAGCAAACCACGCTGGTGTGTCCATGTTGCCATCGAATACTCGTTATCATATGAAACTATCAAATGGATCTTATCGAGAGATTGATATGTACATACCATTAAGAAAACACATTTACTAGAATTGGTTTCAACTGTCCGAAACATCGGACGTTCCTCCTCGATCGCTATCATTACGCCTGATACGCATTAGATAGGCTCGTTTGAAATACCGAGTGAGCGATAAACATTACTATTAATTCAAAACACGTTTTTCCACTTATAGCGGGATTGATAAAACTGGGACATAAAACGACGGGAGCTGGTAGTATGTGCGAACTGACGCTGTTAGTGCGTAGGTATTTAGATTGGTTTTATCCCTAACGTGCAAATATGCATTTACGCAAGCACACGTGTAGTTGGTTGGTTTGTTGTTTTACGCCGCACTCAACAATATTCCAGCTATATGGCGGTGGTCTGTAAATAATCGAGTCTGGACCAGACAATCCAGTGATCAACAGCATGAGCATCGATCTACACAATTGGGATGCGATAACGTGTCAACCAAGTCTGCGAGCCTGACCACCCGATCCCGTTAGTCGCCTCTTACGACAAGCATGGGTTGCTGAAGACGGATTTCTAATCCGGATCTTCACGGGTGCACACATGAAGTGACCGAGCGAGTGAGTGGTTTTCCCCGATTTTATACAATACCGGTATATCACGCTTGTACTCACAATTCACTACTGAACGGAATCGAACCCTCTGTGCGACATTACATTTAAATGCATTAAAACCACTTGACCACGATTGTTTGCCGATTTTAGCAATATTTCACCAACATCACGATGGGGGACTACGGAAACGGGCTTCATGCATTGTATCCATATTGGGAATCGAACCCGGGTCTTCGGCGTGATAAGCGAACGCTTCAACCACTTCGCTACCCCACTGCCCCTTAACTACTTTCACGATGGCAAGACAATTAAGTGATGAGACAATTAAGGCAGCCCAATGATTATATAGACATGGAACAGAAGCGGCATTAGCACCAGCTACGGCACATGCAGTGTAAGTGCTCGCTCTATAATGTAGTTCCTTATAACCTCGTAATAAAGTATTAGAGTTCATGAACGCGTAAAGCGCGATAATGCCAAGGAAATTAAATTGAATTACACACTCAACCGCTGTCACAAAACCCCTAGCTTGCATCTTTTGGGAGAGGCTGGTCTGAGTTATAGGCCAATTCAATTGAAGTCATCAGTAAAACGCATCAGTCTGATGGACTTGTTTCAGATTTGTGAACTGTCCGTCATCAGTGTAAAGCACGGAAGTGTTCGCCAGCATGTAATAGACGTCTATCAGTCAGCGTCATTACCGGGACCACGACAGGATACACAGATCGATAGCTCAAGCAGGGAATGATGGATAAACTACTTACCCTGAGTTGGAGCCTGGCAGGATGCTACAGGACTGTCACACACAGCGTTAACGCACCCCCATCCTCACGTCACAGGGGAGAACCTTCCTCTGATTTGCCCCATACAGCTGCCAGTCACGACATTAACCCCTTCACCGTTAACTCAATTCATCATCTGCTTTTGAAGGTTCACCGATAATGTTAACCCATTAATACTGATAGCGATAAGATTATTTGTCGTGTTCGGTACACATCAGCTGGGAACCTGTAAAATCTAAATCTTTGAAGCATTTCGTTAGAGTCTGTGTATTTCAATTTCAACCGCCGTTGAATTAGCAAGGGTTGTCGGAGGGTAGTGGATAAATGCTAAACATGTAACGAGGACAGTTTGAGCGCAGGGTAAACAGTGTTTAAGTTGGTGTGGGAATTTGTTCCCAGTGAATTAGTGATAAACTATTACACACAGTTAGTTGACATTTTATTAGTTTGTTT